TTACACCACACCAGAAATGGAGTGGCTAGGGTGCAAATAAAACATACAATATACATTATGTATGTTCCATGTATGAGCACGGTAAATAGGAAAGAGCTGACTCTGAGGCATGACCCTCCTTAACATGTACCTTTGAAGCAGAGATCTCAAAGTCCCCTTGCTCACTCTGTTCTGGTGAACAAGGCATATCGTAAGAGAAATTCTAGTTGCTATGAATCTCAGTCTAAATAGTTCCAGAAGCTTAATCTGAATGCAAATAAAACTCTGCTAGTATAGTTTTACAAAATCCATTGAACATCCACAGGCAAAAAAGACACTAAAAGAAAATATGATCTGAAAAGCCAGTGAACATGGGCTGTACTTATACAAGGGCTCCAATAAAATAATTAATGGTATAAGCCCTGATTAAGAAACGAAGAAACACAACTAGCTCCTTCACTTTGGGCAGAACAATGAAAAAACATTGCTGAAAGGGACATGGTAATGAGAGGGAGTTTAAAATGTTTGAGATGCAAGAAACATGAGAATGTTCTCTAAGCGGATCAGTCCTCCTGATTATCTTGTAACCTCCCCCACGTTTGATGAGAAATGGACCTCCTCTAGAGAATCCCGGTAGATCTCATTAGTCACTAGAGAAATACAAATTAAAACCACAATGAGATGCCACTTCATACACACTATAATGGCTATAATTTAAAAGACAATCAAAAAGTGTTGGCACATTTTCTGGAATGCAAAATGGTACAGGTATGTTGGAAAATAAACAAATATCCATTACTAGTAAATAAACAAAATGTGTTAGGTCCCTACAGTGAAATATTATTCATCCATAAAGAGGAATGGAGTACTGACTTATGCTACAACACAGATGAGCCCTGAAATCATCATGCTAAGTGAGAGAAGCCAAACATAAACAGCCATTTTATGTGTGATTCCATTTATATGAAACTAGAGGCCCGGTGCATGACATTCATGCACTGGGGGAAGTGGGAGGTCCTTCAGCCCGGCCTGCGCCCTTTCGCAGTCTGGAGCCCTCAGGAGATGTCTGACTGCCACTTAGGCCTGCAGTCGGACATCCTTAGTGCTGCCACAAGATGGGAGAGGCTCCTGCCACTGCCGCTGTGCTCACCAGCTGTCAGCCAGCTTCTGGCAGAACAACTCCCACTGTTGAGTGTCTTCCCCCTAGTGGTCAGTGTGCGTCATAGTGACCGGTTGTTCTGCCAGTCAATTTGCATATTACCCTTTTATTATATAGAATGTGCAGAATAGGCAAATCTATAATAACAGAAAGATCAGTGATTGTCAGCAGCTGGGGAGTGACTGCTAATTAGTATCAATGTGTTATTTTTTTCAACTTCCAGTATCATTTGTTTTTCCTAGAATCCAGATACAAAAAACTGTAGCAAGACAATGTTCAATATTATTTAAGCCTCACGTTAGGTTTTTAAACTACATCAGTGTTTGTAAACAAAAATTTAACATGCCAACAAATTTACTCAATATTGATGTAACTACAGTATTTTATATGTAGCATATGGACTTTAATATAACAGAATTTGGCTTAACAGGAAGTAGCTTACCCACAAAGTTACTCATTGCTTATCTGTCCTAATCTATTTAGTGTTATACTGACAGACCCCCTCCCATAGTTTTTAATATGTAAACAGATGATTCATCCCCTTAAAAAAGAAACAGAAGTTCCCAATCAGAAAAAAACCTTAACAGAATTATCCAACTCTAAAGTATCAGCAAATACAACACCAGAAATAGATTATGGGCAACTCTTAGATCTTTTACCTAAGTAGTATACTAGAAAGTTACAGTGTTGACCAAAGCAGGTTTCTCATTAAACTTTGTTTTAATGGGTCTCAAATTCTGTAACAGATTTTTGGTCAAGTTGTTTCCATTAAAAAGTACTAATTTTAAAAGCTAATAACTTTAAAACGAACACACACACACACACACACACACAAATGGTCCACAAAACATTCAAACATTCTCCTTTCCTTGTGAAGGTATTTTGTTGAATTGTAATCATTAACCACTCTTTTACTATTAAACTTAAATAGTCAATTGAGACCAGCACTATAGGCTACAAGCCAATGTACATCAGCAGAGAAACTTAAGTTGGAAAACATGCCAAGCCATAAAATTTGGGGACTTGCCACCACTTCCAAGGCTATAGGAGAAAGACCCAAAAAATGAACTGGCCGTTTTTCTCCTTGCCTGATTCCTGGTTCCACCCCCAATCACACATGGATTAGTTAAAATTGAGTCAACTTTTAAGAAAAATCACTTTTATTCCAAAATCTGAGAAATGAGCCATGCGTGAAAGTTAAGTGAGGACAACAAGCAAAGCATCAATATGTGTTTTGACAATGTGTTCAGAATAGCTAAGGAATTATTTTACCTGACTTGTATCGGGATAGAAGATCTGGTCTAGCCCCAGTACTGCTGGGTGATTCCTGAACAAGTCATTTCTCCCACAGAGTTGGATTAGCTGTGCTCTATAAACCCTTTAATTCTGAGAGGGAGGGAACATGAGGAAGAAGGGAGAAGGGAGGGGGTAGGGGGAGAGAAGAAAATAAGAGGAGAAAAAGAGAAAACGCACACTTCCAAGCCATATATATCAGGCAGGTTCATATTTGTTTTTGCAAATTGAATACCCATTTGTTATACAAAAAAAATGTCAGAAGCTGTTTTAAACATGCTATCTACCACTCTACTTCCCAGAATGATGCCTGATGATCCTATTCAAAGCAAATGACCATCCAACTCCTGGTAGTCTTTTGTTAAAAATACATATTATTAATTTCAGAGAGGAAGGGAGAGAGAGAGATAAACACATTAATGAGAGAGAATCATTGATTGGCTGTCTCCTGCACGCCCCCTCCTGGGGATTGAGCTGCAACCCAGGCATGTGCCCTTGACCAGAATGGAACCCAGGACTTTTGAGCCGCAGGCCGACACTCTATCCACTGAGCCAAATCAGCTAGGGCAGCTCCTGGTAGTCTTCATCCCACTTATTCTGCTCTATATTTTCTTTAATCCACTGTGTTCATTGTTTTATACTATATAATTTATCTGTTACATTTATTTTGTTGACTGCCTCCCCCAGTTAAGACTGTACACTCATGGAAAAAACAAAAACAAATAGGAATCTTTGTTTATAGTGTCATGATGCATTACCTAAGTGCCAATCAATACATATTATTTACTGACTGAATTAATTGAAAAAATTATAAATACAGTCACGAGAACCTAATCCATTTCCCAAATACACACAAGAGCATCTCTGAAAGTTATTTGATCTACTGATTGACAAAATCCCTTAAACTTCTCTTCCCTTTCCCCATGTATTTCAGGAAAAAACCCATCTTTTAAAAGCACAAAATCAGCCTGGCTGGTGTAGCTAAATGCTTGAACACTGGCCCATTAACCAAGAGGTCACTGGTTCGATTCCAAATCAGGGCACATGCCCAGACTGTGAGCCCTATCCCCAGTGGGTGGCATCATAGAGGCATCAATCTCAGCAATGATTCCATCTCTCTGTCGTTCTCCCTTCCTCTCTCTCTAAAAAAAGCAATAAAAACATATTTAAAAACATAAAATCAGTCATACAAAGATTCAGGAGGAAAATCTTTTAAAGTAGTGAGTATCTGGCAAAGGTGGACAGAAACCTCATCTCCAGACTAAACCAGGAGACAGACTTTGGCTTTCTCACTACAAATCAACAAATGGGCATATTATACTTAGTAAGGGAAAAAAAATTAAACCCCGAAATACTGTGATATTACTGACCTAAAGTAATTTTGCCTTTTCTCTATAGCATCACTTTTATTTTCAAATGCTTATTTCTAAAATCTGTGCTATACAGAAGTTTATGGAGCCAACTATACAGTCTAGAAGGTTCTTTCAGTGGCTTGCTTGTAAAAGAAGTTAAAAGTTAAACCCATGCCTTAGGATTACTGTAATAATAAAAGAGATTCTGGAATGTTAAAAACATACCACTCGCTTTGTAAACAGAATGAAATGTCTGAGCAAAGCTCACAAAGACAGAGAGATCAACACAGAACAAAGAAAGCTATTTGGAAAATTCCACTGATCAACCAACTTCATATTTGAGCTCCAACAGGACGAGGGAGGAGGATCTTGATTAAAACAGCAAAGAAAAAGATCACCTGGATTGGTGTGCCTGGGGAAGCTACAGAGAGTGATACATTCCTGCATACAGGGCACAGGAAATGGGAGGGAAGCCATCAGAAACTGATGATTGAAAGGACTGAGATTAGGCCCATCAAACATCAGCAGCCAGATGTTCCAAATACAAAGCCCACATTAATATCTACTGCAAGAGTTAGGCCATGAAGGTGTTGATGAGTATTGGAAAGCCCCCAAAAGATCAAGTTTTTTTTCAGAGATAAAAAGAACAGAAGCAAAATACCAAAATGAAACAAAACCACCAGTTATTTTTGTTGGTTTTTCCATTCTCAATCCTCAACATTTAAGTTGAACTTTGGAAACAGAACCCTACCCTGCCCGCCCCCCCCCCAAAAAAAAAAAAAACACAAAAAAAACCCCACAACAACAACCCACAAACAAAGTATGAGAAGAAATTATAATCTAACACAACTACAAAAATGAAACTAATTGGAATGTCTAAGGTATTTTAAATTGGAAACAGACACAAATTGCTGAGAAAGTTATCAGCTTTGGAGCACTTGTTCATGTATTAAGATAATCCATTCAGGCTGTGCAAGAAAAGAGGAAGCATGGTGACAGGGAGAGAGATATGTGTAATGATATGGAGGGCTTGCCAAGAGTCCAGCTGACAGTTTTATCCTCAAGTTTTCTGGAGCAGTTTAATAATTGGACACACAAACCAGCCAGGCCCTCTGCATTTCAAACTCCCTTGGCCTATGTCCAGCGTTAAGCAAGTGGATCCAGCATATAAGGGCAGCATGCATTTTCACCATGGTAAACATCAACATGGACCTCACCTTGTCACTGTCATCATGACAAATGTGTTCGTGATGGATGGACTGGCACTGAAAAGAAGCACCAACACTACCTACAAGAGAAAGGGAAGAAAAGTTAAGATGGATAATTTCTAACATTTAAACTGCTTTCCCAAGTAAAAGTGCTTTTAAATGTATTATCCCATCTAATCCTCAACAACACTCAGGATAAGGATTATTCGTGTAGTTTAACTCAGCAAAACAAAACTCAGAATGACTGATTGAACAAAGTAGCAGGTCTAAGACTAAAACCCTGTTATTCAAACTCCTAATTCACCACTTTCTACTATAAAGAGTGGTTAACTTTCAAAGTAAATACACCTAAGGCAAATTTCTTTTTAGGGAAGAAAGTATACTCCTTTTCACACTAAACATACTTAGAAAAAGAAGGAAAAAAAAGACCCTACAAATTCTCAGCATATAAATAATAAATACACAATCATATGATTTTAAATAGATTTTACTACTTTAAAAGTATACATTATTTATATGCCCAACTATTTGTTCACTTGAAGAACTATATCTTACTAATAACTGCTCTATGATAAAGTGACATTTCTAACCAACAAGAAAACAAATGATTATTCGAGAAATGATTGGAACTGATAAGTCATTTGAAAAAAGTTTTGGCTCCTACCTCATACCATACAGAAAAATGGTAGGTCAAAGATCTACTATCTTCCTGACAAGTTATAGTTTCTATCTTGCATCCTTCTGAATACAGTGGTGCCAAGTGAGACCTACGTGTTTTTACCAGTCTGCATGTGTAAATATTTAGATGAACCTTAGGACACCCTACTGCCATGCCTGTGGATATTACAGTGGCAAATACCACATTTTGTAAAATTTATGATGCCATCAATTCAGATGTCCAATTATTAAATATGCCATTGAGAATGAATGCTGCCAACTAAACTTTGACACATTTCTTAATACTAAAAATGTTTTATACTTATTGAAATTACTCTTTTAGACTTGTTTTAAGGTTGATTTCTATCATATATTACTCATGCATTCATAAAAAGAAAATGAGAAAATAATTAAATTGACAATAGCAGAAAAAATGAGAAAGTTATTTTTAAACTTCAAAGGATAAAAACTCCTTACTATATAGGCTTACCAGTTAATTTATTTAAATGTACAGATACTATAATCCCAGGGACAGTGACTGCTTCTAACCTACCCAGTATAAGGTGTTGTCTCCCAACTCACTTTGCATGACATTGATTATAAAATATAAAAAGAACTAAAATAAAAAAACAAATTAATCTCAAACACACGAATAAAATTCTATGTAAAATTGTAGCATAAGTATATATATAGCAAAAATAATAGCATATGTAATAAAGTGTCACCATAATCCTATCTAATAAAGAGGGAATATGCAAAATGACCATCATAACAAGCTGGATGTGCCCACAGCCGGCCGAGGCAGGGATTTCATAACATGAGATGGCTGTGCCCACAGCAGAGACTGGGATCCTGTCACACAAGATGGCTGCGCCCATAGCGGAGGCTGAATTCCCATAACAAGCCTTATCGGCAGGGATCTGAGGCTGCATGGCACTGAGAAGGGGCAGGGGACTTGAGATTGTGTCCTCAGCCTGGTGGGACTTGACAGGAGACCTCATGCCGCCCCCGCTCCAGTGCCAGGCTGGGGGACTCAGGCCATGCCCCCAACCCCAGCACTAGGCTGGGAGACCTGAGTCCAAGCCCCCCACCATGTGGGACTGGATGGGGACCTCAAGGCACGCCTCCTGCCCCAGCCCAGGACACCTCAGGCCGCACACCCTGCCCTGGCATGGGGCTGGGAGGAGACACCTGAGGCTGCACCCTCTGCCTGGCTGGGCTTGACTGGGGACCTCAGGCCATGCCCCTGGCCTGAACCAAGGGACCTCAAGGTGCATACCCCACCTCCGCGCCGGGCCAGGAGACCTGAGGTCGCACCCCCACCAGTGGGGCTTGACACAGGTGGGGCCAGCTGGGTCTGGATCTAGCCCATTCGGGGTGGGGCTGGGTCTCGTACAATTTCGAGGCACATGTGGATAGGCAGGGACTTGATTCTGGTTCCTGTGGCACACCCCAGACTCTGACAGGAGGAAGATTTTCATATACATTTTATTAATTTTCTTTCATTTCTAACACTTCTATTTTAAAGGGCCTATAGCAATGTTAAAATATTTCCTCTAATTAATTCCCTTTTAATTAATTTAAATAATAAATTTTATTGCTTTTTTACAGAGAAGAAAGGAGAGGGATAGAGAGTTAGAAAGATCGATGAGAGAGAAATATTGATCAGCTGCCTCCTGCACACCCCCAGTGGGGATATGCGTGAAACCAAAGTACATGCCATTGACCAGAATCGAACCTGGGACCCTTCAGTCTGTAGGCCGATGCTCTATCCACTGAGCCAAATCAGTTAGGGTGAATTCATTCCCTTTTAATGTGGACTATTTTCATGCACTGGGTCACTAGTCTATTCATAGTTACCTAAGAAAAGCCCGATTCCTTAATTACAATAAAAAAAAATTTTATCAACAAAGTATTAGGGAAAAAAAGCCACAGAACATTTAAAAGTTTGGTTACATCAAAAGATACTGACAAAGATTTTAACATTTATTACCAATTTTTATTTTTCAGAAATAACCTTATTAATAAGTGCTTTCACTGGATAACAATTCTGGGAAGGATGGGGTGGGGAGGAGGTACAGTTGCCAAAAACGTACAATATGGATAAGAATAATAAAAACCACAGAGTTCCCTCCAGTACTGGAATCAGTTAACATAATATTCCAAAACATGATTTAGCAAAAAGGATATGTAATAATGTCCTCAAATACTGAAATTTTTTGGGATACCAGAGGACAAATCAAATCACAGCATAAACTATTATGTCAAAAATATGGTAGATGTGTTACAAGGAGTTAGTAAAGATTATACTTTCATTAAGTCTCCTATTAATCTAGTATTATGTATGTAATACTGAAGTTATACTGGTAAAAAGAATTGATGATTGTAAGTATGCATTAGATACCTACCAAGAGGTACCAAAACAGACATTATTTTATCCTTACACAAAATCCTTGCATTTAACATAGTATGTTATATGTGTTTCTATTAGACACAGTTTAAGAAAGATGAAATAGTATTGGAAACAGTTTACATAATACCATCTAATGGCTGTGGGGGAGAACATTACTTAGGACCATCGCCAAAAACTTATGACTCCATGAAAGCTGTAAAAGTGATAATTATATTATTTAGCAATTTAGAAACTTCTGAGTCTATTATAAATAAATGAAAAGATATCCACATTAAAAAAAAAAAAAAAGGCAACAACAAAGACACTGCCTTACACTTTTCACAAAAATTAATTTAAAATAGATCATAGACCTATGGCCCAGTGATTGAGTGTCAACCTATGAACCAGGAGGTCAGTTTGATTCCCAGTCAGAGCACATATCCAGTTGCTGGCTGATTCCCAGTAGGGGGCATGCAGGAGGCAATCAATGATTCTCTCTCATCATTGATGTTTTTCTCTCTCTTGCTCCCTCTCCCTTCTTCTCCCTGAAATAAATAAAAATCTATTGATCATAGGCCTAAATATAAAACACAAAACTGCAAAAACTTTTGGAAGATACCACAGAAGAAATCTAAATGACCTTAGTCTTGACAGTGAGTGTATGTGTGTGTGTATTTTTAATTGATTTCAGAAAGGAAGGGAAATAGAGAGATAGAAACATCAATGATGAGAATTATTGATTGGCTGCCTCCTGGAAGCCCCCCACTGGGGGGGTGGGGGAATCAAGCCCTCAATCCAGGCATATGCCCTTAACTGGAATCAAACCTGAGACCCTTTAGTCCTCAGGCCAATGCTCTATCCACTGAGCCAAAGCAGCGAAGATGACAATGAGTTTTCATATGCAACATAAGAAGCATAATTCAGCCCTAACTGGTTTAGCTCAGTGGATAGAGCACCAGCCTGCAGACTGAAGGGTCCCAGGTTCGATTCCCATCAAGGGCATGTACCTTGGTTGCAGGCACATCCCCAGTGGGGAGTGTGCAGGAGGCAGCTGATCAATGTTTCTAACTCTCTATCCCTCTCCCTTCCTCTCTATAAAAAATCAATAAAATATATATTTTAAAAAGCATAATTCATAAAATAAAAAAATGATAAAATGGACTCCATTAAAATTTAAAACTTCTGCTCTGTGAAAGACACTGTTAAGAAAACGAAAAGACAAAGCCACAGACCAACTGGAAATATTTGCAAAATGTGTGTCTGATAAAGGAAGGACTGTTATCTAAAAGTATTAAAAAAAAAAAAAAAAAACCTCTTAATACTCAATGGTAAACCCTGGCCAGTGCGGCTCAGTTGGTTGGAGCGTCATCCCATACACCAAGGGGTAGTGGTTCAGTTCCTGGTCAGAGCATATGCATGGGTTGTAGGTTTGAGCCACATCTATGTTTCTCTCAGTCAGTCAGTCTCTCCTCTCAATTCCTGGTCAGGGCACATGCCTGGGTTGCAGATTTGATCCACATCAATATTTCAATCTTTCTCTTTTTCTCTCAGTCACTCTCAAATTAGTAAGAAAATGATTAAAACAACAACAACAACAACACACACACACACACACACACACACACACACACACACACACACACACATTTTTAAAAAAGCCTCAATAGTAAGAAAAAATTCAACCCAATGTAAAAATGAGTAAGGTCTCTCTTTGACCTTTTGCCCTGAATATCTGAACTCATTCCTTTGCCACTAAGGGAAGGGCCCTTTGCTGGAAAACAATGCAGAAGCATCCTAGATGTGAATGAATGCACACAAGCACCTGCCTCTCTCTCCAACAGTCCCGGCCCCATAAGACAAAGGATATAGACAGAGAACTCAAACTGAACTTCTGAAGAATGAAATACAGATTTTAAGGCAGCTTTGGATAAGCTAATCAGAGAATGAATATCCAACCACAAAAGAAGAAACCTTCTATACTAGAACAAAGGGGTCAATTTTTGAAACTTGAAAGAATCTAGTAAAGGACAG